TCTGTTTCCATGCCAAGCAATCACACACCCCCCAAAAAAAATGCAGCAGAAGCCCCTGGGACCCTCTGGTTGGGAAGGACTCTCCCTCAAGCTCTCTGCCCTTTTCTGTAGGATACCAAGAGGCATTGGAAGGGGTAAAATGTTTTCCTCTGCAGAACTGTTCCTTGCTTTTCCACTGCGTGATGCTCCTGAAGCTTAGGAGCTGTCGTTTCTTCCTCTTCTCTAACCTTCCCTTTGAAAACAAAATCATTCACACAGTGACGATGAATTAATTGTGTCGCTGCAGGAACAGCTCTCAGGCATCAGAAATTAGGAAGTGAGAGAACCAAAGCTGTTCATTCAACTTTAATTAAGTCCCAGCGTAAAATATATTACAATAGTCTTTACTCTTACATTAACACAGCCTTGGGCTAACTCTTACACAATCTAGCCAGTACATTTTTTCCAACAATACATTTTAGAGATGAGGCTGATATTACTACCTATTACTAAGACTGCCTGATATTCTTCTGAGATCCTGTTTTCAGTTGCTTATTTCTCTCTCAAGCTTTAATATGTGGGACAAAATTTTCCAGTCTTGGGCCCTGATTCCAACCCAAAAGTTACAGTAAAAGTAGCTACCAAAGTATTTCTCTCATTTCCAAATAGCTGGACAATGAAAAATTTTGCCCAAGTTAAACATTCTGGCCACCTTTTTTGGGGCTGAGACTTCAAAGCTTACAGGGGACAAACTTCAAGTGAAGGCCACCTCTGCCACAACAACAGAAACATCCTGAAAAAAATGACAGCATCTCTGACTTCTGCAAAGACTTCAAATTTTTAGTGATTAAATTACCTAGCAGCCCCTTTTGACCTGACTGTGCTCTGACTTGGGGGCTACGCAACACTCTTCTCAGCAATCTGTGCTGCTGTGGGCTGAGACCAGTAGTGAAAGGAAGAAAGCTTGTTCCTCACCCAGTGCCAACAGACCCTTGGAGAGGATGTGACCAGTAAAATGTTAAGAGTCTTTTGTTATTTGGGAAGAATAATTTTCTTCTTTTCCAAAGGCATATAAGCTCAGCCAAATCTGGGAAGATTTTCACCAGGATGGCAAAAAGCACATTGCCGACAAAAACCCATCTGCTAAATTTCAAAGAAAAGGCGTGAAGATATTTTTCAATGCAAAAAAACATAATCTTTTTTTCCTCTAACCATTTAAGAACTATTAAGGTGTTCTGGCAGGTATTTTCCTTCAGACTAAAACAATAAGGATAGAAAAAATTAGCATGAGAGATAGTTTGTCCAAACTGCAAGATGCTTTAAAAGGGCCTTATATTAAGAAGTGCTGGGATGCCTGAGAAAGCTTTCAACATCTCCTGTAATAAAGGACATGAGCTTTAAGTGCATATCCATAAATATCAAATTGAGAGAATCCAGAAAAACTCCCAAGAGAGCGAAAAATGCCCTGTATTCCCCCTCAAACGTGGTCATGTGTAACATGCTTATAACACGCTTTGAAAATCAATTAACATTGCTCTACCAAACCAAGGAGAAAGAAGATTCCACCAGAAAGACACCCTACTGTGACTTTACTTCTGTTGCTAGAAATCTCCACAAACATCCCCAGTACATGACTGAGCATGGGAAGGGTCAGCTGGGATCCCGGTTCAAGCAGGGCTCCACAGGTGAAGCAGCCAGGCACTCACCAGCAACCAGAAAGAAACACATGGAGAGGTGCAGGAGGAAAACCTGTGAGTGTAATCCCCACCATGAGGAGCAGCTATGCAAGCCAGCAGCTGCATCTAGCCTTGCAGGACCTCCTGAACATGACTCCATGCATGAAGGCAACTAAGGAACAGATTCCTGTGGCAAGGGCTTCATCAGGAGGGGATGCTCAAGTTCTCTTTGCTGGCAAAAATGATGGGTGAAGGAGGGAAATGCTCTTCCCTGTGACTAGGAAATTGAGGCACAATTAAGCATCTTGCAAGTTCCCAATGACACAGCCCTTGTGGCTCACATGTTGAGCTTGCTTGCCCTCACCTAAGAGCTGAGTATTGTCAGAATCATGCTCTCACTGCAACGCAAACCTGTCCACGCTGAAAAAGAGCAACGAGGGAAATGACCCTTGCGACTGCACAGGAAAACTCTTAGAGGAGATGAAGAACCGCCCTGAATAACTCCCTGGCATGTTCAGAAAGACAGAACCCAGCTACTCAATGGTTGATCAAAATCCACCAAATAGATCAAATACAAATACACCAGCAAGGGCTAACTTGGCATCTCCCTTCCAACAAGCACTAAAATACCGCAGGAACAATATCAGATGTTTATCGGGAGCTCACCAATATGGGGAACATGGTCTAGTGACGAAAAGAATGCATCGTTACTGCGATGGCACAGGAACCAAGTGACGAGTTCTGCTGAAGGCACCTGTTCTAGGTCTGGTTTTTGGTGGTACCTGAGCACCATTGCTTCTGCCCTCAAAAAGAACTTCCAAAGAACTACCAGGGATTTCCGCAGACAGTGATGTGCTCTGTTCTGCTTTACAGCAGCAGAACAAGGCACCGAGCTTGTGATGGCTCCCCCTAAACTTTCTAATTATTCTCTTCTGCACTCTGCAAGCCTCCCTGTCCCTCTTCTGCCACCGAAAAGGCTATTTGTGTTCCTGCTCCTCACCCTACGCTGTCATTCCCTCGCTCTCACCATTATCCTTGTCCTGCTGACTACCAGGTTGGTCGATCAGGCTGTGATTTCAAGAGCTGCAGTACAAGAAGCTCACAGACAATTATGGTTACAGATACTCCTCTCATCCCCATCTCCTGCTATGGTCCTGCCCTGTGCCATAGTGCTCAGCTCTCCCAGATGTACATGAAGCTGTTCTTGGAAATGTATCAGTGAACTGATCCAGCTTAGAAACCAAGCAAGCCCCCCAGACCTCCAACTCCAAAACACCAACAAGTGGTTCTTCCCCACTTCTTTAAGCTGAATCAGTTACAGAATGAGTTAGAAACACAAGGATCTGAGCAGCTGTGCAGGCATACCATCAGCAAAAACATGCATGAAAATAAGCAGCAGCCAAGCATCAGCAACTTCATCTGGCATTGTCATGTAACAAGGTGAATCACAGCAGAGCATCAGCCTTTCAGACACATGGAGTTAAGACATGGAGTTACACAAGAAGCTCTTAGTGGCTAGCACTGCTTTCCTTATTCTGTGGAAACTTACAACCCTGGCTGATGATAGCACCTTTGCTAACAAGATGTTAGTCTGTTCCTAAATCCTTGTCTTTCTCTGCCTGGTTTTCTAATGTTCCTCTCACACCTGCCTACTTGTCTTAAAAGTCCTCCCGGACATTTTCTGGATGCAGCAATGAAAACTCATCGTGCTACATCCAGTCAGACAAACATCCAAGACGAAGATTTCATTCAGCCAATAACTGCAAGTATCAGTACCAACATTATCCACATAAATGAAATAAACTTAATGGATTTGCCCAGTCTAAATGTACAAATGAGCTCTGTGCATTACTTCCACCACGCCATGCAGTCTGAGTTGTTATGTAGGATGATTCTTATTGCACGCCCCTGCTCCTACTGTAATGTATCACCGCTCTGTTTCACCATAGTTAGACACAAAAAAGCAACTACCTGTGTAAAATTTTAATTTACACTTAAATAAAGTTGTATGTTGAATTTCTGCAACTATTTGATTTACACTGTAAGCATTCAGAACTGGAAATGTTCCTTTTTCTGCACAAAACCCCATTCCAATCAAAAGAAACTGGAAGCCCCAGAATTGCACTTTAAAATTAAGCTCAATCTCACTGAAAGGAAACCAGAAATAATGAAATTCTTCCCATTTTGTTAAACTGGACTATATTCCTTTTTAACCAAAATGTAGAACATTTGTTGGAAAAAGCAAACCTTCTTTTGACAATGTTATCACAGATCTAATAATTGCACAGTGTATTTACTCCATGAAGTAACAGCAGTAAAAGAATTTATAGTTAGTACATGGTAAGGATGACATATTGGAAACTGATACTTCTATGGTCAAAAAAGCATTATCTTATTAGCAACCTGCATCTCAGAAAACGTCAGTAATTTTCTTTCCTTTTAAGTGAACTTCACCATGGCAAACATATCAGCTTTGCAAGAGATGAAACTCCTGTTTATCCACAGACCAAGCGGTTTGGATTTGCAGGAGCGTAAGCTCTCCCTGCAGTGTCCCACCAACACAAGAACACAGTAGGAGAGGCACCACCACTCCGGGAAGGCACCCAGACCGCTCCTTTCAGTCCTCCCAGCTTTCTGCCGAGACTGCCAAGCCCAGCTGTCAGGTTTGGGTTTTTCTGATAACCCCACTAGAAGATGACCCCAAACCAGCAAACTCACTTTCGAGTGAGCTTGAGCTCCATGGAACTGCCATCAGATTCACCTCTTCTGTTGATGATGGGGTTTCCTGACAAGTCAAGAAATGCCTTTTGTGGGGCGAGCTTAGTGAAGTTACAGACAAAAACCCCGGGCAGCCTGGTTTGTGCCTGCTTCACACTGTGCCCGTGCCAGAAGATTAGCTCATTACTCACTTCCTTCAAGTCAAGGATTTTTAGATGGTGTCTCAGTGAGGGCCAGAAGAGCAGTTCTGAGGTTGTGAATGCAGGACTGGCGCTCATACTGGTTTAGTTTGCGCCCCAGGAGAGGCTGTCTGCCTGCCTGCCCCATTGCCCAGGGTGGTACCCAAGGTAGCTCCTCACTATAGCAAGCCTGACCATCAGCCAGGGTGGGCAGAGCAAGCTCTCCCAACCAAGCTGCCTAACAAAACATGAATGCAAAATTATGCCAGGAGGCCAAAGAGCTCTGGACATCCCAAGAACCACCACCAAAGTGCGGCGTCCATGCCTGCAACCAGGAGCATCCCCCTCCTTTGGTCCACTGGACTTTCAGGATCAGGCCTGTTTTGATGGCCCAATTTTCCATCATGTTCTCAGAAGTGAAAGGAGAAAAGGAATGCAGGACACTCACCACATCTGTGTTTGTGATCTTGGCCAGGAGGTCTGTGAGGCTGTCTCCATCATCGAGCTGAAGGCCACAGATGGCTGCTCCCACACTTCCAGTTGCTATCATTGATGGTGGGTACATGGCAAAGTTAAAATCTGCAAGAACAGATCTGGGAATTAGTCCAAGCCCAGACCAGAAAAGCTGCAAAACATCAGAGGCAAGCAACATAAAAAAACCACACCCAAGAATAAAAAACGGGGAAGTAGAAGAAAGGGAAAAGTGGCGCTCTTTTTGGTCCAGCAGAGCTCATTAGTCACACTGCTCATCACAAGCAGTCAAAGGAGGGGTAACAGATCTGCAAATTAAAATGGAAATGCGGTTCAGTCTTTTATTCTCACTGATGCATAAAGTAAACCTGGACAATTTTTAATAGTCTTTCCTTAGTTTTAAAGAAAAGGAAAGAGAAGAAGGAGGCTTTATGTAATTTATGTCAGAAATTTGGGTCTCGGTCACATTAGAGCTCTCTGTATACTCAGAGAACTAACTGGAATAAGGTATCACAAAGGACCAAACTGAGATTTTTAGTCACGTCAATTTTTAAAGACTTAATTAACTCAAGCATTTAAAGACCTGTCCAGCAAAGAGATTTTAATTAACAATTCATCTTCACCACCTTTGCAATTAGGAAGTGGGAACACTTACAGCCCATAGCTACGTAATCAAAGAAAAAAACAAAGGTCACATTTGTCATTACTACTCATTCTCAACAAACAAGTTGAAAATACATTTCAAAACTTCCCCTCACAAATTTTGGAGATAGGAGAGAAATGAAAATAAAACTAAACGTTCTTGTGACCTTTATAAGGCTTTATGATTTATGATACTGCCATCATCACTGACTTATTGGCATGTCTTACTAAATAACATTTCCAGGTTTTATTGTTTACTGGTATTTTCCTAAAATGAAAGTTGTTTTGCAAGTTGTTTGGGTCAACAATAACTCATTAACAAATCCTTCTCTACCAGTTTTCAGTTGGCGGCAGTGGAGGAGCAGGAAGAGGTCATCAAAGTATCACTTAATATGAAATAAACCACTATCAACATCTTCAGTCTATTTATAGAAACAGATTGTTACAGAAAATTGCCCTTATGTTAAGGGCAGATCCCAAGCCTTCGCTCTTCAGCTAGCACAAACTCTGCAACCCTATTGAGATCTACGTAACCACTCAAGTTTTAGACACATGGAGAGTTGTTCTCGACCTCCCAGACTCTGAGCTGGCAAATACTGCAAAAGCTGTGGAGATGACATGTTTTTCTCCAGGCTAGAGTATGTCCCTGGGACACAAGAGGAATGAAGCAGTCGGGTAAGAATGGGTCTTGGGTTCTAATGCTCTTCCACTGGTCTGGAGGGGATATGTCAGAAGTGGGGAGAGAAAAGAGGGAGCTGGAACCCTGACATGGATCTAGCTGTCTCATTAAGCCACCAGGACATGAACACCTGCAAGCCCACCAATGCATGCTGCCAAAGACCAATGTCCTTCCTACCAGGGGAGCTCAGCAGACATCACACTCTGACAACCATTTCTGAAGAACCAAATGCCCACCAACTGAAGCAATCAATATAGACTGTCATTATTATAAAAATAATTACAGTAAGAACTCACCGTACATAGGAAAGCTGATGATCTTGGAAATTAACCTATATTGCCCCTCTAATGAGTGAGTCAACAGCAGAGCCCTGACTCCTACTTAGGGTGGGACACAGCTCTGAGGATGCCGATCTCAGGCACATGTTGAGGTAGCAGGAATTGTACCTCCACAATTGAAGTCACTTTCACATTTACCTCACATGGATTAACACACACAGAGGCAAGGGCTAGCCCCATCCAGACTGTACATGGAGGACCAGGGAAAACAGGAACGGCTACCTGACACATGGCACAGGCACTCCCCAAGGAGTCTGTCCTATCCCCAGCACCTCAGCCTATGGTTGTACTTATCATTGGGCCAGACCTCAGGAGCAGGTCATAAATGTAGTGGAATTTTAAACCCTCAAAATGGCTCTTGTTTTATGCCATTTTGCCTCTCTTCTTACTCATTGCTACTGAAGGGGGGGCCCAGGACATGGCTCTGGGTGGTGGCTGCAGTAGCTCGTTCCTGTAGGTTGATCTGGTAGCTAGTGACTCCATGGAAGAAGTGTGATAGCTTGGCCACCAGTTTACAAAGTCCAATGGGCAAACAGTTTACAAAGTCCAGTATGAAAACCAGGAATGGTTAAAGGACTCTGCTAATGAGAGGTTTCTATACAGGCTGTCGATGTTTATGTGCTTGCATGACTGTCCAGAGTCTTTTCCTGGTCCACAGAGCAAATAACAAATGTCTATAAAATTTAAGATGTTAAAACACTTATGCAAGTGACCTAAAGTCCCCAAAATCTGCTGTCATCTACGTAGAAAGATTCATGAGCAATTGCACTAATTTCTTTAGAAAATGGATAAATTAGAGTACATCTCCATGGGTCTGTTTTTCCTCTTGTATGCACTGCACTTGCTTGGGTTTGTGAATCCCATGTGTTTGCACTGGTGTGAATGAGGCTGCACTTGGACAAGATGGCCCTAAGCTGGGATGCATTTAAATCTTCAGACTTATCAAACCGTCCCCTAGTTATTTATGTGAACTACAGATGGCAACAGACTTTCCATAATTTACCCCTCCTTGTCTCAATTTTCGGGGAAGATGTAGTACAAAGATAATGTGAAACGTCTCAAATTCTGCTGGCATTTGGACAGTCCCTATGGAAGCTACAATGCAGTGGGTGAGCACGAAAACCCACCCCTTCCTACCCATCGTTTGAGCCAGCTTCAGGGAAAAACAAACCCACTCAGAGGCCTGAATGGACCGATGCACAGAGCAGCTTCACCCAGCCCCAAGCAGCTGTCAGGGAGACCTGCATCCCACACCCAACCTTCGGAATCGCATGATGTGTATGATGGGCTAAGTGAAGGACACAGCTCCAGCCTACCCTCTGAACTTCCTTGCCTCCTAGGGGCTTGCACCAGGACCTTCACATTATCCAAACACTGGTTTTCTCGTGGTTGGTTTTATATCTACTCCCAGAAACCGTCTTCCTAGGAAGCTGAATAAAGAGCCACAGTGCCCCTGCCAACTAGCACTGCTGTAGGTCTGCTTCCACGTGGGGTCACATGAGAACATTTCTATGCCCAATAACCTTGTTAGTTCCCTTAATGTCATTCATAATGCAAATGAGACAGCGAGCGAATGGCCAGAGGCCCAGAGTGACTAAAGCTCAGCATCCAGAAAGTCTTACATTGCCTCTAGCTCTAAACTAACTTCCCTCCATAACAAGCACCATAAACTTGGCTATCAAAGCTACACATGCCCAGTCTTTGTTGTACAACAGGCAGCGATTTGTATCACTGGCTTCTATTTTTAGCATATTAATTAACTACTGCAACTGGTGAGGCAAGTGTCTCCAACTGGAGAGTGTGGCGCCATTGTCTGAAGTCATCACCTCATCTCGCGCTATTGAAAATCATGGCAGTGACCCTCCTGCTGATATGAATTTAACCTGACATGCCCACAAAGGGATGGGGGGTGGTGCACCAATTTTGTGCACATGGTTCTCCACATCACCCTGGACCCTATTAGTGTGGAAAGAGCTCATTGAAAGAAAAGCAGCCACATTGTGCTGGGCCACCTAGAGGGTTGAATAGAAAAGGCTGAGGAAAAGAGCAGGCAGCGGAATAAAGGCCGTAATTAACATATTTCCATATTCAAGCAAAGCAATAACTACGTGAAATGTTTGTCAAGGTGCAATGAAAGCATAAATATTAAGTACCATATCTGAGGGGATGCAGACCCTCTCTCCAAGTCCCTTACATTCCATCGAGAAATTCAAAACAAGCTTTTTACACATAATTTTAAATTATAAACTTGTATTCCCGCTTCTCCCATGACAACAAGTCAAGTCCCACCATCCTCACTCAGGTAAAACTTCCCCTAGAATTAAGCCAAAAGCTTGCCCTGAGAAAGATAGATAGACAGATAGATAGATAAATAAATAAATAAATGGAGGAGAGAGAAGACCTAAGCATATGAAGCTAAAACATATGCTCTTAACTTTAATTCCTCTTGGAGATGATATATTTGTAATTACAGAGGCAATCTTATAAAAAGCACTTCTTACTGCACACCTGAAGAAGGCTATGGGTGAAATCCTTCTTTCAGACCTATGTACAAACTCAGTTAACAGGCACCCAGAGTATGCACCGAAGACACAGCTCTGACTCTTTAATTTTGTTGTGATTTACACAATTCCATGGGAAAGTACAAAAGAGTCTCGTTAAAAGTCAGAGGAGCAGTGCAACAGTGTAGTCTACGAGGATACAAGCACATGAACACTTCAATTAATAAAGGCCTGTTAGAAAACAGGACTTGTTTTGCCTTCTATTCCCAGGCAATGAACACCAGAAACCATCCCATCTCCATCTTGGTATCGCACTTTTCCTAAAGGACCTTAAAAACAAGGGATCAACCTTGCACAATCCCACTGACTTTAGTGTCAGAAATAAAAAAGACCTGATACAAGAAACTGCCCTTTGAAACAGCCACCTCTGGACCAGTGAGCAGGAGCTGTCAAGCAAATTCAGGGTACCATGAATACATGCCCTGCTTTCAGACTGGAGTTAAGGCAGCCAGGGCATGAACGTATGCACAAGCCAAGGGCATTTTTCTGCCAGTGTGGCACACATAAGCAATGGCCAGGTTCTAGGACTCTGTGCACCACGGCTGAGCTGTTTTGCTGAGTGTCTCCTGATCCAGTGTGGACTTCACCACCTCCCAGTCAAGAAAACACAAGGTTGACAATTGGTCTGAAGCAGGAGGGAACCGGAGGCACAAACCCAGAGAGGTTCTGCAACGGGAAGCCCTAACTCGTGGCCAATAAACGGAAACCGCCAGATGGAAAAGGGCACTGACAAATACCCACGCTGAATGTGCTCAGTGCATCAAAGCCATGTAGGAACTCTACCTTCTTGCAATGATCCTTGTTACTGCTCTGGCCATAGGTTGGGTTTTTTAACAGCCAGTTTTCATCTCTATACTTTCACAGAAGTTTCTTTTCAGAGCTGCAGAG